TGGAGATACATCTGGTCTCATCTAGCTCCAACCTCAACCCTCTACTCCCATAGTTGGTTCCTCTGCTGTAGCCCACCCCCATCTGGAATGTCCCCACCAGGACACATTAACAGGAGCTCCTCGAGTCATCTCATCAGCACAAACCCTCAGGTGGGGCCTGAGGGACCGCCTCAGATAATGAAGACCCTCTTGGGGATGAGGAGGTAGCTCAGTGGTAGAGCACTTGCCTAGAATGAGGGGGGACCCTGAATTCTAAGCACTGTACCAACTAAAGATAATCTCATCATTCAGGAAATGCCAAAGGCTTAAAGGTTACCTCCCAGGAACTGGGGCAGAAACAAGCCAAATTCTTCCTTATACAGGTGCTTTTCTTTCTAATGATATTGGATTTTTTTTTTATATATATTGGATTTAGTTTACTTTTTGTTAAGGATTTCGTGTCTATGCTCCTGAGGAATATTAATATGTAGTGTGGTAAATTTTGACAGATACTTTTAATCAAAATTTAAAAGCTCCTCGTATTCCCAGTATATAGGCATTTTAATGAGGAATGGATGCTTGACTTCTGTCAAAGGCTTTCGCTATTAGGATGATAATGTAGCCATATCCTCTATTAACATGATGCATTTTTTTAGATCTAGTGTTGACCAATCCTTTATTCTTGGAAAATAATTTTTAATTTTATTTAAATTTTTCTTTTACTTAGAAATCCATGTTAATACCACACATAACAGGAGTACATCTGTTTAAAAAGTGACATAATAAGCAAAATATGCTAGACTCTAAAAGCAAAATATCACATCTGCACTTATATGAGAAACCTAAGATATAAATAAAGAAATAAACAGATAAATACATTAGTGAGAGGTGCTAGGGAACTAGAAGGGTGACACTTGGAGCTGGGGCAGGAGATCAGGGATGGAGAGGAAAGAGAGAGGGGTAAAGGGATTGAAACTGATCAAGGTGTGTTCCATGTGCGTATCAATTCCCCAAAGAAGCATCATTACTCTGTGTTACAGACATGCACGAGAGAAGGAAGAAAGTGAGAAAGAAAGATAAAGGAGAAAAGACTTCATTGTAAATCTCCAGCACTGTAAAAATATAATTTGTTGAAATTATATTCAGTAAATAGATTTGTCATCCACTTTGCCTTACTTTCTTGTCACTAAGACACAATACCCAACACCCACAACTCTAAGGAGGAAAGGTTTATTTTGGTTCACAGTTGGTAGATATTTCAGTCCACAGTCGGCTGGCTCCAAGGCAGGACAGCTCAGTAATGGAGCAAGGCAGAGGAGAAACAGTGCAGGGTATGTGGTGGGGAGAAGCAGGAAAAGCTCAGGGAGGAGGGAGGCCGGGAGATGCTCGCTTCAGGGCCATGGCCCGAGTGACCGGCCTCCTCCAATCAGGCTTCACCTTTCAAGATCACGTTTAGTTATGAACACAATAGTAGACCAATCCACTGGTGAGTGCCACAACCCCATGGTCCAGTCGCCTCCCGGCCCCCACCTGTGATCACGGGAGGCTTTGGGGGCATGTCCAGCTATAAACCGAAACATATTTTTTCAACTGATAAAAATGCTTTTAGATCATGAAACTATTTTCAAAAATATGATTATAAGTAGCTGTATAACAGGTTATCCTGTGGGGATTTATATTTAACTAGTCCCTTATGGTACTTTATTTTGATTTCTGCCAATTGTACATGATAAACGCAGAAGGGGAAAAAAGTAAAACTATTCTGTACATTTGCAAATGCATAGCATGCTCTCGGAAAAATGAGTAAGAAATCTGTTCCAATAGCTATCTTGTCTGGGGATGTAGCTCAGCCAGCATAAGCGGCTGCTTGGCAAGTGCAAAGTCCCAAGTTCAATCCCCAGTACTGCAAAACACAAAAACAAACAAACAAAAACCCCCACAATAGCTCTCTTAAGAACAGAAGAAATAATAAACAAAAAACTAAAATATTTATTTTTAAAATTTAGAAATAATTTTTAAAAAGAACAGAGGACCAAGTGGTCAAAAGGCAAGGGGAATAGGCAATCCTAGTACTTTCTTGCCTGTTCTAGGGCATTAAAACGCTTTTGAAAATACCAAGTGCAAACGCTACAGAAAATGCAGGAGGTCCCATTGGCCACAATTTCCTATTCTTTTTCTTTCTAGGCCTTCCCAGAAGTTAGATCTCTATGGATTTTTTTTTTTTTTTTTTTTTTGCTCCGAATGTCTTCAGGGCAGGTTTGGCTGGCTTGAGTTGTGGGGATCGAACCACAGGAACCTGAGCCTGAGGGCTTTGTTGAAGCAGCCACTTAAAGAACTGAGCTAAGGGGCAGGCCCCCCCCCCATCTCTATGGATTTGAAGTACTTCTGGGGAATATTTTTTGGATCTGTAAACATACAACATTTTGAGCTTAAACAGAAGAATATAGTAGTGTATTCCCTCAAGTTCTCCCACCCTGTCATCAAAGAAATATATGTACATACTTGTGTGTGTGTGTGTGTGTGTCTGTCTGTCTGTCTGTCTGTCTGTCTGTCTGTCTGTCTGTCTGTCTGTTATAGGCAAGTGAGACCACACCACAAGTATACACACAAGCCTGCTTGTCTCACTTTATGATCTAGAGTTCCCCCTCATCTTTTTGTTTGTTTTCAGATAAGGCCTCCCTCTGCTGCTCTTACAGCCTGAAACACACTGTCCCTGCCTCAGCCTCCCACACTCTGAGATAGCAGGCACGGACCACAGTACCTGGCTCCCTTCCATCCTTCTAATAGCATCACACCATTCTATCACATGAAAACACCACTCTTCCTCTACCAGCCCTAAAACCTCTTTATGTTGATACACAGAATGAGAGCAATGAAGCTGTTACTTCTTAATGCATACACATTCTTGTTTCAAAAAAAAAAATCTCCAATGGCTATGCATAGTAACCATACCCATTCACCGAATACACCGATGGAGCCTTTTCTCCAGCCTCCACGCACCCCTCCTGCTCGCTGCGACCCTGATGGAGCAAGGCATGGTCTTGCTGTGGACCCCTGAGAGTTAGTGTGCAAGTGCTGGGAGTTGGGCGGCCTCCTGAGTGTCTGAGATGGCGTAATGATAGGCTGCAAAGTGTCACAGTGGGCTGGAATGACTGCCCCAGTCACGACAGCGAGGGGAGGGAGCTGCAGGTGGCAACCACGCTGAAGGCAGGCAATTTAGAGGCACTTGGTCCTTGTCTCAGCTTCTCCATTAGCGCAGTGACACCCAGCGTTCCCTCTGGAAGACCTGGCTAGCCTTTTCTGGCAGAACTCACCTCCTACGGTCAGGCAGGCTTGACAGCAGCCTGGGTCATTTCCATTTTCAAGACTCCCAGCAAATTAAAAGAGTGAGATGGCTAGCAGGGTTAGCAAGACTGTGTGTCTAATACTGCCTCTGAACCAAGGCAAAGTCCTAACAAATACAAAGCAATGTAATTGCACTGGTTAAAGATAATGATGGGATTTATGAACAGTATTAATTCACAATGCACTACAGATGGTACAGTCCAGGAACGGAACACACATTTACAACCATCTGAAAAATAGCTTTCTTTTTCTAGTCTGCCATGGTGGTGCTGTAACCGAATGAGTAAGTACCTTTGGAAAAGGCTAACTTTGAGCAACTTTCCAAACGTGAAGCAAGATAAATGTCTTCCTGCCTTCCCCAACTCACCAAAAGCTCATCTACTGCGGGCAGACAGCAGAGGAAGAGGTCCTGTTTAAGCCTAAATCCCATGCCTGAGTTGATGACCCACATTTTGAGCAAATCTAGGTGCATTTTATGGTTTTCCAATGTATGTGTCTTATTTTAAAAAAATAAAAGAGAAAAAGTGTTGTTCTGCCTCTGGAGCTGTGAAAGGGGAGGGGTAATAGGATGTGAGTTTGAGGCCGAAAGGGGGTGAGTCACATGGGGAGGGGGGCTCTAAGCTATCACAAGAGAGGTTCTTAGATCAAGCACCGGGTGGATTCCGGTACCAGGCTGAGAGGTGGATCCTGAAACAAATGAGGAGGATTCTAGGCTACAACAGAGACGAATTCTGGAACATGAAAGCAGTAGGTTCTAGGACAGGGACAGATGGGTGGTGGGCAGGCCATCCCACTCCATGCTCCCAGAACCCACCCAGGCACTGTTCCCTTGGAGTCCACAACACCCAAAACCACTCAGCCCGTGTCTCCCCACAGGCCTCTCCGGGGCCCCAGCCCCAGAGCCTCAGGACCCTTTAGACACTAGCACCGGTCCTGCGTTTCCCCTTCCTATCACTCAGCATGGCCCCAGCGGTTGGCCAGACTTAGATCTGCTATGACAGGTGGCAGAAGCCTGTCTTCAAGGGCAACAGTGGGACTCCCAGCGGGCAGGGACCACGCTTTCTCGGGTCGCAGCCGCCGGAGCCAGGCACACGGGTCACAAGTACAAATGACTTTTCCGTGAGCCTGAGGACCCTGTTTGATTCGCGATTTCATTCCAAGTGCCTTAGAAGTATAAGTTGGTTGCATCAATCAATAAAGCAAAGAGGAAACTGAAAGAGCAAGAAGGAGGAAGGGCGGGAGTGGAGAGGCACAGGGAAGGAGGAGGTTGGGGGAAGCAGCCGCGCTCGGGACCCGACGACGAGCGGCCGCCTACCTCCAGCGCGTCCCGGGCCTGCGCGGGACGCTGCGCGCGCAACCCCGAAGAACCCTGCGGGCCCGTGCAGCCGGGTCTCCCGCGCACCCGGC